ACCTGCTAAAGGGACAGGGTACCACCTAGATGCACCCATCTTCTCACCCCCAGGGGGTCGGCCACCCTGCACTCGGTGTTTCTTGTCCCCTGCTCTTCCTTATAGTTTTCTTATGCATGCATGTTTTGGTTGTTTTTGGATTTTATTAAGTGGTATCATAATGTGACCCGAGCAGGGGTGTTTTTAATCGCCTCATATACGTGCAAAAGCTAGACAATGAATAAGGAAGACCAAAGAAAAACGGATACATTTGAATTACAGTGTTGGCGAAGAATACTGAATACTCCATGGACTGCCAGAAGAGTGAACAAATCTGTCTTGGAAGAAGTACAGCCAGAACGTTCCTTAGAAGCGAGGATGGCGAGACTTCGCCTCATACACTTGGGACATGTTATTGGGAGGGACCAGTCGCTGGAGAAGGTCATCATGCTTGGTAAAGCAGAGGGTCAGCGAAAAAGAGGAAGACCCTCAACGAGATGGATTGACACGGTGGCTGCAACAACGGGCTCAAACACAGCAACGATCGGGAGGATGGCCCGGGACCAGACAAGGTTTTGTTCAGTTGTATATGGGGTTGCTATGAGTCACAGCCATCTCCACGGCACCTATAACGACAACATCATAGTGCGTGTGTTTTTCTGACTTTATTCTTTTACTCAATAGTAGATGTGCAAATCACTGCTGAATGGCACCCCACTGCATGCGTGGACCATAATCAGGGGGCTGTGGAAATCTATCTTTATTCTTTTACTCACTAAATACTCCTCGTGCACCTGTGACTTTGTTCGAGGCCCTGGCGAGGTGCTGGGAAATGGCAATCACAGAGCTAGAGTAAGCCGCCAAGGTTGGCCAGCATGTCGCTGGCTGAGCCGGGACCCAGTCAGTGCCAATTCTAATCCACCCGCGTTCATCCAGACCTTCCATGTGCTGGCATGGCTAGGTGTGGCGCAATCACTGGCTCAGAGCAGACAGTGTCTTGAATGGAAGTCAACTTTTGGTCCTAGAACAGGGAAATACCAGTATGCCCATGTCACAAATGACAAAATACAGACCTTGTCCACTGGTTTGCAGACTGGCTGCACATAGAACCACCTGGGCTGCCTTTAAAATCACAGCTGCCGGCCCGCCTGACTGATGCTGACTCAGTGGTCTGGCGTGGGGCCTGGCCACAGGGCTTTGCTGAAACCTTGCATGCGATCCTGGCCTGTGCCAGGGCTACGAGCCCCCATTTGCATCCTCCAAAATCCTGTGAGATACTCAACTCAGAAGTTGCACCGTCCCTACGTGAACCTGGACGGCAGAGACCGCACAACAATTAGCATTTACGGACATGCGGCTGCCTCTTATTTATTAATTAAAAAACATTTTATTGTGGTGAAAAATATACGTAACAAAACATACGCCATCTCAACAATTTCTCCAGGTTTTACACGGATTACATTCTTCAAGTTGTGTACCCCCGCTCAGTATCCTTTTCTAAATCACTCCGCCACCACTCACAGAAACTCACTGTCCCCCAAACAAAAATTCCTTCTTTCCCCCTTCCCCAGCCCTAGTAACCACCAATAAGCTTTGGTTTCTATGTATTTGCTTACCTCATGTAAGTGAGATCATACAGTGTTTGCCCTTTTGTGACTGACCTATTTCGCTCAGCATGATGTTTTCGGGATGCATCCATGTTACGGCACGCACCAGGATTTCATCTCTCTTTACGGCTGCGTAACATTCCCTTGTCTGGAAGGACCACACTGTGTTTATCCTTTCATCTGCTGACAGGCATTTCGGTTGTTTCCACCTTCTGGCGCTTGTGAAAAGTGCTGCGGTGAACATTAGTGTACAGGTTACTAATTTTTTAAAGAGAGAACAACTTTAACAAATGGGGTCATAGCTGGTGAGCAAAAGGGCAGGCAAGGGGCATTTGACAATGTGGCCTCTCCCGTGGCGCGGTCACTTGTGAGATTTAGCAGCCTCTGCAGTTTGCTGTGATACCATTACATCTCAGTTCTCGGGGTGATGACTCGGGCTTAGATACTCGTTCCACCGACCCTACTGTAATTACATGCTGGCTCGCTTTACAATTCTCCCTCTCTTTCTTACAAAAGTGCGATCATACAATATTTGTCCTTTTGTGATTGATGTATTTCACTCAGAATAATGTTCTCCAAATACACCCATATTATGTTTTGAGAACTCATCATTATTCTTTATGGCCGCATAGGATTCCATTGTATGTACCACATTTTGTTTACCCATTCATCTGTTGATGGGCATTTAGGTTGTTTCCATCTTTTTGCTATTGTGAGTCATGCTGCAGTGAACATAGGGGTGCACGTGTCTGTCCGTGTCTCTTTTATTAGATCTCTAGGGTATACACCCAGGAGTGGGATTGCTGGATCATAAGGTCTTTCTATTTCTACCTTCCTGAGGAGCACCATAGTGTGTTCTATACTGGTTGTACCATTTTACAATCCCACCAGCAGTGGATAAACGTTCCCATCTCCCCACATACAAATCTCCCTCTCTTTCTCATCCTAGGAAAGGGGAGAAAGACAGATTTAAATGCTAAAGTACATCAAAAAATACACTTTACTTATTAGAGCAGTTTCAGGTTTACAGAAAAACTGCATAGAAAGTACAAGGTTCCATATACCCTTCCTCCCTCTGCACGATGTTTTCTCTATTAGTAACTCTTACACTGGTTACAATGAGCCAATATTTATACATTAGTAACTAAAGTCCGGAGTTTACACTGGGGTTCACACTTCGTGTTGTACAGTCCTATGGGTTTTAACGAACGCACGATGTCACCTGTCCACCGTTACAGCATCAGAGAGAATAGCTTCAGCTATTTATCCCTCCCCCCTCCCCCCGAGCCCTTAGCAACCACTGATCTTTTTACTCTCCGTCTAGTTTCGCCTTTTCCAGAATGTCATATAGCTGCGATCATACAGCATGCAGCCTTTTCCCGCTGGCTTCTTTCACTCAGCAGGATGCATTTAAGGTTCTTCCATGTCATCTTGTGGCTTGATAGGTCATTTCTCTTCACTGCTGAATCCACCTCATTGTAAGGATGGACCGCAGTATGTTTATCCAGTCACCCAGTGAAGGGCATCTGGGTTGTTTTTAATGTTTAGCGATTATGAATAAAGCCGCTATCAGCATGTGTGTGCAGGCTTGTGTGAGGATTTATTAAAAAGCACAGAGTTAGGAGCTGCGAGTCCCTTCACGGTCATCTGGCTCAACTCTCTCATTTTAAGGGTAAGAATGGGAGCCCAATAGAAGTGAAACCAAGTAGCCCTGCACACAGCTGGGGCCTGGCCCGGACTTTCCAGTCCCACCAAAAACCAAACCCACCACTGTTGGGTCAAAGCCAATTCATAGCGACCCTACAGGACAGAGTAGAACTGACCCATAGGGTTTTTGGGGCTGTAATCTTTACGGAAGCAGACTGCCACATCTTTCTTCACAGAGCAGCTGGTGGGTTCGAGCCACTGACCTTTTGGTTGGTTAGGAGCCGAGCGCTTTAACCACTGCACCACCAGGGCTCCCTTTCCAGTCCAACGTCAAGCTTAAATCATTCCATCTCTTGGAGGAAAAGGGACAGGAGAGAGCAGCCCTTGCTTGAGCCTTACTGTGTCCAGGCTGGATGCTGAGGCTCTGGCAGGTAAGGGGCTTGCCTGCCACATGGCTAATATCTGGAGCCGATGACGCCTGCCCTGGCCACTCAGTGCAGGCCTCAGGCTTGGCCTCCTCCCGGGCGTGGCTCATGCCTTCAACACGTCCCTCCCAAGCCCCTCTCCTGGGCTCCCAGGTGGCGGACCCAGGCCCTGCCCTCTCACCTGGAGAGAACCAGCCAACAAGTATGAGCAAAACCTGCCCTTCTCACTGATGAAGAGCCAGCTCTGCCAGGCAGACGACAGAACTGTGAGACTCAGGATAGCGAAGTGACAATCAGTGAAACAGAAAACCCCAGCGAGTCAGCTCTGCGCGGGTCTTCAGGGAGGAGGAGGGAAGGCCATCAGCCTCCAGATCCCGCCTCGGGTTTGATTCTAACATTACTTCGTAGCCATTGTTCTTTCTCGTCCTTAGGCGATTGAGGATGTTTGACATTTTTATTAAGCATTTCAGGTTTGTTTTTTTAAAAAATAGAATCCTAGGTGATTAGAACTACAGAAGTCTCTTTGGAACCATTTCCCAGACCCATTGGGTTTTATAGAGGAATGTGTTCGGGTCCAGAAAGGGGGAGGAACTTGTCTGAAGACAGAGCTCAAACAAGAACGGCTTCTTTGCTTGTCAGGTCGGTGCGAACCCCAGATGATCGCACCCCGTTCTCGGCTCTGCGTGCGGCCTCGGGGTGGTGAGGAGCGCCGGCCAGGAGCGGCCCTGGAAGGCCCTGCCGGCCACGTCCCTCCTCAGGCTCCCGGCTCTCGGTTCTAACCGCGCACCGGCCGTTTCCTGTAGGCGTTTACTCCGCCTCTCCCTGGGCCCGGCCGGCCTCAGGTTCACCCGGCAGTTATTAACCAGGGATGATTCTTCCACCTCCTTCCCGCCGACTTCCCCCAGGATCCACGCCCGGGGGTCCACGCCCGGCCGACTCCGCGTCCTGGGCGCAGGGCGGCTTCCTGGAGGCGGCGGCGCGCCGGCCTTGTCCTTGCACCCTCTCCAGGGTCCCTGCGACAGCTGTCGCACGCTTGAACCCAGGGGCTGGTGACGTCGCCGGCCACCTGGGGACCCCACCCGTCCCTCCTCTAGTCCTTGGGAGGGGGCGGGCAGCAGGCAGCGGGGGCTGCGCGCGCAGCCGTGGTACCTGGACCTGCGGGCTCGTTCGGAAATGACGGGCTCGCGCGCGCCCGCGCCCCGCCCTGCC